GATTGTCTGCTAATTGAATGGCAAGTATCTTGAGTAGTTATTGTTATGATTTCCGCAGGCATAAACAACTATTTGTGCCCAATCAAATGTCGACGGCTGACTTCTGCGTTAATCAATGATACTTGTCAAGCACGTGCTGCTTAAAATGATTAACTGACTAACGATGGATAATTTATAATGGAAATTGTATCAGCATCATAAATAAATCATTGTTTATGTAAAATTTTAGGGGACACTTATGATGGGTGTATAAGATTTTGATTAGCAAATCAATTTGGCTTAAAAAATTGTCGACAGATTGCAATGGAATTGAAGTCTCTTTGTTCTATGATATCTTGAATAAAATTTTAAAACTATTATATGCGAATAGATGAATTACAGTTTTTAGCTTTAGTTTTGGTTTTGCCTTTAAGTTTTTCGGTTGAATATATATATATATATATATATATATATATAAATTTAGTTAAAATAAATATATAATTTAAATACAAATTGACAGCTAAACCGTTTATCTTTTATTTTACTTATAGTATAGAAATCAAATTTCTAACTAATTTTATATTATCTTTTATATGCCAACATAGCTTATTAATCATACTTTCGGCAAATAGACTTCCTAGTAGTAAAATACTTTGAAGAGAGTTGTTGGCCAAGTCAGCGACTTTTGGCTCTCTTAAATACTGGTTTTCAGTGTTGAAGCTGGGAAATTTCCGACGACTTGTTATTTTTACTACTTTGGAAAATGTACTGCAAGCGATTTAGTTTTATGTCAAGTGTAATCAGTTTCCTCTAATTTTTAAAGAAGAACTAAAACTTTAATTGCTTAAAAAGAGCAATATGGAAAATTAAATGGAATTTAAACTTATGCACTACGTGATTTCCAAGGAGGAAAACTGCGAGGGCAACAAGTTGGTGAGTTATTTGTCGCCTGTCTAATGGGTCGGCTCTCTACAGTCGCTTGCAAATTGCAACGAGTAAAACAAATTCCGTCACGCAGCAGAGCGAAAACTTCAGGAATGACTCGCAAAAGGCGGCGCATGATTCAGTCAAGCCAAAATGTTGGCTTAACTCTCGTCAGCCGTGAGGGAGCATGAATTTGCATTTTTTAGAAAAATAAAAGTGAGTATAAAAATGCTTTTCACTTGTTTGCAAAATAAATGGAAACAAATTGTATTTTTATTTTTTTTATTTTTATTATTATTCCCTTTAAATAAAAGCAAATATAATAATCCATGGTTTTACCAAATTTAATAAATACATTTAACTTAGTTAAATTATGTTGCTTTTTTGTTCTTCTGCCAATTGTCAGCTCAAATTTATTGCTGCTAAAGACTTTACTTATTTAAATTTGTCGCACTTACGTTGATGTGAGAGTGGAACATTAAGGATTGTTGAATTGATGCTGCTGTTATATGTAGTAAATTATTGTGGCCAATGGGACGTGTCGGCATTCAGCTGAAAGTTTTGCACTTGCACCCCTTTACAATAGCCACGCACAACGTGGCGAATGCGCAATTTACGTATACGACATGTTGTTGTCCATGGTTTAGTCTAGAGCAGAAGCTGGACGTGCGCCACGCCATTGTCGGCTGGCCACTTCACACTTATTTCCGGCCTAATAATGGCCAACGTCAACTGTTTCGGACGCTCATAAAAATTCCACATTGCTGATTTTAATATATTCTTAATGGCGGCCATAAAACGAAATGAATGCAACAGCCAAAGCAGACACAATATGAAAGAGTGCGACATGTGGTGCAAGGGCAGTAAATAAGAATTAAATACAGGCCGCACGATGTAAATTAAAATGCAAAGTTTAAATAATTTAGAGTTGATTGAACAGCTGATGCAGTCGAAAGTAATTTTCCAATTTTCTTCAATCTAATGCATTTCCATTAACTTTGAGCAAGGCTGAATTTGAACAGTCAATTAAACAACTAAATTTTTCAGTCAATTAGAGCTTTCTGGGCCGCAAGTAGATAACGAAAATTCTCATTAGCGAAATTTTTGGCATGCACCGTATAAGCATAAGTTTCATTAGAAAACTTTGCCAATCAGAGAGTCGAAAAACTGAAATCAGGAAATACACCTGCTCAAAGCGAGTGGCAGACATTGAGACTTTTTTTTATACAAATCCTTAAAGTGAGCCCGGAATGAATAAGCATTGAGCATCGAAACTTTGTGTATATATATAATATCTATATATGCATATACATATATATACCCACAAAAAGTTACCGTGTTTGGTTTTAAGCCCACAGCATGCTGTTCAAAATGAGTTATGTGCCTGGCATGCAAAGACAATATCAGTGGATATGGGCTAAAGGAAGCTGGCCCAAACTTTGGGACTGGAACAGGATGTGAGAGCGACTGGCTCAATAAGTAGAATCAGGTTCGATTCTCAGCTGTTGCAAGCTTAGCCAACTTTGAGGCTCTAAGCTCTTTCTTTCGGCCAAGGCCCACATATTGCGTGAATCAGGCCATTTAATTGGGCTCGGTTTCTGGCGGCTGTGCAAGCAGAGGTGGTAAACAAATTTCAATTTATTTAAGCGATATCTGCGCCACACCTGTAACCATAGCCACAAAGCAGGAGAACTGCGCTGAACTGCAGGAGCAGTAGCCATTGATCGAATGAAATTTAATCAAGCAGATGGCTGCGATTTTTTCCGCATTGTTTTAAAAGGTATGGCAAAAAAAATTGTGGTCAATCAATGGTGGAAAATTAAGTAGATTCTTAAGCATTTTCAGCCCAGCTGAATAAGTTGCAAACTTTGAGGTCGGTGGTTAACCCGATGCCCTTTAACAACAGCATCCGATTTTTAAAAGGGTTCGTAAAACGTTCCTTTATATAAATTTGGTTTCTCTGCTTTATTGCGTGCCATGCACACAATGTGGGCGGCCACAGCCACGCCCCAGAGAAGAAGTTGTCATATATGTTTGGCAAAATATTTTGCTTGACCTGTGTAAACTTTGTGGGCATTCCTAGGGCTACCGAAAGGTCAGCCAGCTGCTAAAAGGCTTCGTGTCAGAAAGTTAAGCAATAAAATTTACACTGGACAAACGAAAATACAAATTAAGTGAAGTCAAATAAAGGTTTACGGCGCTTACAGAGCTTTGCTCAATACAAATTGTTGACGTAGCTAAGACAGAAAGAGGATTTTCTATTCAAATTTTTTAAATACTGAACATATTGAAAATGGAAAAATTAGGTTATACTGCTTCGGTTAAAATGTAGGTAAGGTGGCGTGGCAGACCCCATAAAGTATATATTCTGGGTTAGTATGACGAGCTGGAACGATTTGTCTGTCAGTCCGTATGTATGAACGCGTCGATCTCTGAGACTTTATTAACTAGAGAATTGTTTTGTGGAAGCTGTAATGCTATCGCTGAAAACCTTTATCAAAAACGATATATTTAATTATAGCAGATATCACAAATATCACATTCTGACAGTCTCCTATAGATGTCCATCCAATGCTTCGACAAATACAGAGAACCTCGTAGTCGAGCAGTCTCGCCTAGAAGACTTTTATTTGCTTGATTTTAAAAGGCGTTGCAAATCGAATATTTCAAATATGTTTACGAGGAAAATTTAATGTGATGAACTGAAACAATGTTAAAGATAAGAGTTGAATATTGGGCAGGTGCTGTGAGGATTATAAAGCCGTGATATTGCTCTGTTTCGATTGTGCACTAAAGGTATGAGTTTTTATGGAGTAAAACGTGAAGATTGGTGGAATGCAATGTGCAGTGAGTGCAGTCTGCTGCCGTTACGCTCACAGACAGTATGTAATTGGATTGAGATAATATGATTCATATACACATCAATTGTAAATATGAAACCCGTATAAAGCAATAAGAAGTCGTTTTTATTATAATTTAAGCAATGGAAAATAACTAGATTACTTACACCATAAATCTGTTATAGTGTGAGTGAAATATAATTTATTTTGTATTATATGCATGTTATATACATACATAAAGTGTATGCCTTCCTAGGAATTATGCACGTTTTAACAGAACTGTACTTTTATGGATGATAAACTTGAAAGGGCGCTGAATCCGCTAAAGCTCTATAAGCTGCCATAAAACGCTGAGCAAGGACACGTTTCTATTGTGAACTAAAAGTTGAACTGTCGCCCCATTTTAAGCTCAAGAGCTTATACAACTTGAAAGCTTCCGCATTTAATATTTTTCCTTGTTCTCAACCACCAGAAACAGTTCAAATATAAGCAACGAATTTATGACATATTATTAATCATAGTTTACGGTCTTAAATTTTGTCACTATTTCAAATTAATTTTTTTATTAATTGTAAAATCGGGACGACTCACTATTGCTCAAGTAATTAGGTAAACGAGTATGGAAGAAATGATATCGAATAGAGTTTGAATAGTCCTAAGCGACAGGAAGGTTAGTTTAAAAGTATAAATATATGATTTACAGCTCTGAATATGCAGGACTTTATCAAAATCAAGTGCTAAACTAAATCCCCAAATATACTAATGGATATCTGTGCATTACCTTTCTTATGTCAGTGCTCAATTTCCATATGAAAAGCTCACGATTTTAATGGCTGACAATGCTCTATTATTACAATAGTCTAGTACTTATATATGTGCTTAACTATCGAAACAATAAATTACCTAATCCTTTGCAAACAAATCTGGGCATAAACAAGGCTTGTCAATACATAAACAAACCAGAACAACAACAACAACAACAAGAATAGCAATGAGGCCAGCCGGCAAATAGCCCAATAACAAAAATCAGCTGTTTGCTTGTCGCTCTCCGAAAGCTCGTCTCGTTTACTTCAAAAGCTGCCGCGCATCCCAACTTAACAAGCGGGTCAACGTTGCGTATGCGTTACATTTCACTTTCGTTGCGAACAGAGCCGACCGTAGGCACGAGGACGCGGAGATGAACGAGGATTGGGGGCAGGAAGGACGATTGGCGGCCGCATGTAAAGCGCTGCCTTTTCAATTTCAATTTCAGTTCCCGTGACAACCTCGACGCGTTCAGTTCTGTGCCAATCGGTGAAAAAATACAGCCACAACGTGCGCAAGTCGCGTGCGGACTTCTGCTAAGGTACTTCTTGTGTTTGTTGTTGGTATCGTTCTCCTACTGGGCGGCCCAGATAAGTACGCAACGCGGCTTCTGCAAGAAACGGTCCAAGTCAACTGCTCGATGTTAAGTGGCAGCCGCAGCCACAACTTAAAGTTTCCCAGCATGTACGTGTGTGTGTGTGCCAGTGTATGAGTGTGTGACTGGGTGAGAGAGTTTATATGTCTGCAGCTTGCGTGTTATTGACTAAGCTTAAGGCTTCAACACTGCACAGCCGAGCAAGCGTAAGATTTTTATGAATGAATTCAAGGCGAAGTCTGTGGCCATTGTGGGATGTGGTCCGAAAGCCAATGGCGTGTCTGGAATATCGATATTGATTCCTCGGTCCGTTTCCGCTCGCATCGACAACGCCGCGGACATCAAGCTCATTGGCATCAGCTGGTGTTTGCCTTAATGAGCCATAATTGCCGCCAAAGAATCCGACGCGCCCCCATCAGCAGCTCAAATGGAGCCTGTGATATTAATGATGACACAAATTCAATTAAATATATTGTTTCTAGGCATAATGAACTATTATAGGAAAGTGAAAAAAAGTATTTTCTTATCCTTATGCTAATGAAACTTCTTTCATCTTTTCACTTGATTTGGGCTCCTTCACAGTTCAAACTTCCCAGAAATTATTTATGCTACCAAGATTTGACATTTTGTCATTTTTCCTACGACATTTTTTGCATTGTTGCTTTGTTCAGCGAAAAATAAATGAAACACCACTAGAAATTTTGTAGTCGGGTGTGCTCGACTAGGAGACACCCTGAACCCCAACTGCTGCAAACATTCCACTTTCACTTCATTGACAAAAATATATATAATCACGCACGTCAGTGGGCGTAAACTTTCTTTCCTTTCTCTCTCATATTATGTTAGTCAAATTTTCAGATCATAACTATGAAAACTCTGAAATTCAATGAAATGAAAACTAAACCATTTTTTGCATGCTTGACAACTTCTTAGATGTCAAATATGTATGACACTTAATAGCAGCAATTTCAATCTGGACTTTGAATTTAATCGACTTGATGTAAGTGACATACTTTTCACAAAGCCTGCTCACCCCATCTCGAACGGGCTCAGGGTATACAAAATTGAGTTTGCAAAGAATGCCACATTCTTAAAATATCTCTGGAGTAAGCCCTTTACTTGACATCTTTAGGATAATATACTTACGAAGTATTTATTACTTAGGTTTCAGTCAGGCTTCACAGCTTTGTCAGCTTTAAAGCATCGTCAGATTGATCTAAGGAAATTGTTACATTACACTGTAAAGAAACCTATACTCATATAGATGGCTGCTGGCTGCCTTGGATTGGCTCCATATATGTAAAAATTGGTATTTAGAGTAAAATTCACAATTTATGCCATTGATCAACAAAAGTAAACAACAACATTCATCAATTGTTGATTATGTTGAAATTTATACAAATGCGAAAATACTATTATTCATTTTATGGAAATGTCGAGTTTGCTAGCTCTTTAGGGCTTAACTGCTAAATTATGCAGAAAAACAGCAGCAAATGCAAAATATTATATATTTATTGCAATTGTAGCAAATGTAATTGGTCCTTTACAAAAATTGCAGCTCATTGGTGATATGAATATCGAATAATGGCAAGAGATTATTATTCACTAATTCAGTTATGCATAGTAAAAGAAGAGAGACAGAGAGAGAGAGAGAGAGAGAAAGAGAGAGAAAAAAAGAGGGAGAAAGAGAGAGTCATTATGAATTCCATTTAAGAATTTGTTGTGGATAAACAAAGGTAGATTTAGCCAACATTGCAACATGTTAAATATCATACATTTCATATAAAGAGCAACTTCTATTGAGATTTTGTTTGCCTGCCTATCATGGAAAACAAAAACCGCAGATATATTACAGATATTAGAGTAGGTAATAGAAGTCAAAGCTTAGAAGAGGCTAAAGCAAAGCCACACATAATCTCAGGCTACAAAAGTGTTGACAATCTAGATGGGAACACGACATGAGTTCCTACCAGCCCAGCAGAGGCCCGCAGCAGAGGCATTAACAAGAATGACATACCTCTGGGCGGTGTTGGGGGGTAGCGCGGGGGCATAGGTTCTGTTGATATGGCTGTCGTGTCGCTGGCAGTGCTGCCGTCGCCATGGCTGCCATTAAAGGCGACACACGCCAGCCAACTGACGCCTGCTTACATTAAGGAATTCCGTTACCAGCATCGCGTATACGCGCCGTGAGCAGACGCCGGGGCGCATCTTAATTGCCGAAATATTTGTGCCGCTGTCGATGTTTAAAATTTTTACAGGCCTATTTCGCAAATTGCAGCGCGCCGTGGAACGCAACGTGCGGGCATTAGGGACTGAAACTCAAACCGTGCCGAACCGAACTGAACCGAACCGAAAATCAAGTAGAGTACCGTTCAAATCATCGCTTCAGCTCAGCTTTCATAGCCAACACGTGTTGGCCTCGCATTAGAAAGCTCATTGCGAAGGGCACTTGACACGAACCGTAAGTCAAACGGTCAAAAGGCCACAGCAAAACGCTTTAATTGCGTCTGGCTAAAGGGATTTACTGCTTACCCTCAAAGGGCTCCGTTTTTGTGCGTTCGAGTAAGCGGTTTAAGTGAATTGTGCGTGTATCACAAGTCGGGCCAGAGACATCACCCAATCGAGCTTTGTGCCAGCAGCGGACTCAGTCGACTGTCTAGCCGACAGACCGAATAGCAAATCACACCTAAAGCAGCGGGCAACTGACCTCCATCTGTGCAGCAATCAACACTATTCCCACTCCACCGTGACAACTCTGGTAAGAGCGCTACACACATACGTTACGTGGCCTCTTGAGCCACAATTTATTCGTTTTCTGCGTACTTCATAAACATTTCGTGAATATGATTTTAAAATTAAAAATTTATGTTAAAAGCATTTAGCATAAAAATATGTATATATATAGAAAATAATAGTAGTAGCCCAAATACAACTCTTGGATTACTTAATACTTATTCACAGCATGGTCTTAAATTAAAGTTATTTTTGCCATTCCCGTTTGCTGCTTTAACCTTTGACTATTTCGACTCAACAACGTTCAAAACCATATCGAAACAAGCATGAGTAGCCTGAGAGTGCACAAATACCCAGAGAGTTCCCAACGAGCTCAGAATGTTTATGCGAATATTTCAGCTTTGCTTTCACAGACACACACACACACACACACACGCAAATATGCACTGGCACTCGTGCCACTTGCTGCACCCACTCTACGGCATTGATTAGCCACAATACTGCAGCAATTGCGTTCTGCAATAATCGCCAGGTATTTATTGTGGAATTTCTATGAAAATTTCGAAATATTTATTGAAAATATTTGCTTATAAATGCCAGAAAGCCATATAAACGGTTGAGCTTTAAATTGGATTTAATAATCCAAAATTAAGCAAATAAATAAATACAAAAATTTAGTCGCTTAAGTCAACTGCGCCAAATTTCCAAATTTTCCAAATTTAAACACTATTATTAACTATAGCTATTTGACAACTCTATCAAGTCAAATGGATAGAAGGAATATTGTATTATATTAATCTACTTGACTGATGCTGCGCACTTGGGAGCGCCTGAATAATACCGTCAATTTAAATATGAAAACACACACATACACACACGCACACGCTCTTTGATTGGACGTTGAAACTTATAAATTGCAAGAATGCTGACACCTGGCGCTGTCATTCCTGTTAGCCAAAGACGTCGCACTTGTTATGACAATCGTGTGCCACCCACACCATTCAACCTCGCACACACAGTGCTCCAAACAGAATCCACTTGATGAGCAAAATAAAACCCAGAGCGCAGAAAAATGAAAGACACGCGCGAGATGGAGACAGAAAGTCACACGAAAGTCGTGCTGACAAATTTCTGAACAAATAACAAATGTGAGTGATCACCCCGACCCCCCGCCAAAAGCCAAGCTCTATATATAAGTCGAATATGTATGTATATACATTGTGAGCGCCTCTGATGAACTTGAACAGCGAAGACCAACACCTACAGACATTTTGTCAACACGCTGTGCGGCGAGCTGCTAAGAATGAGATGGGATAGGAATATATCTGATTTGCATGCTATTTGATACTTAGCATCGGAACTTCCTAGCCTGTCGCCTACGGTGGGCCAGCATTTTAATTAGCTGATGTTCGTAAATTCGAAGCAAATAAATAATCCGACTAGACAGAATGGGTGCGACAACAGCGATATGAAATATGCGTGCATATGCTAACTTTACCTGACTGAAATTTACTAGTTTATTATTCGAGATTCATAAATATATTTGTAATAATAGAAGTGAGATATTTATCCATTACAGCCATAAAATGGATTATTGAGCTGCTTCTCTGGTTATTTAAAAGTTCAGCTTTTATCTATTACGATAATCGATTGCAGCCAAACGGTACCTAAAGCCACTTTAAACCCATAGGTCTTTGGAGGAGTGCCAAGAATTATCTGGCAAAACTTATAAATTAAGTTGTTTCTTTCAACTCTTCAACTCCAATATTTCTAAGTTATCTCTTGGCCTGGCTTTCAGGCCACCATCTCAGCCGCAGTGAATTTAAACAGAACTATGTTTCAGCTGCTTTACGAAACTTTTGCCTTACATACATATATTCCGCTTGGGCTTTTCAACTTGTCACATACAGAGCATAAATCTAACACACACACAGATACAGAGACACACACACACACACACACACACACACACACTATTACGCGGCAATCAGCATGCGACAGCAACAAACTTTTGTTCTATATTTTTTTATTTGCACTTTGGAGTTGAGGCCACAACTAGTTGGCTGCCACGAGGGGCAGGCGGTCAACAAGGCAAGTGAAACATTTGTTTTCGCTGCCGTTTACAACTTCCGGCTCGACTTTAAGCGTTCTCCGTGGCAGTTTTGCATAGTGCCGCCCCAAAGTATGCAACAAAATGCAGAGCTTTAATAAAACACACAGCGGGTAATCCACCGAGGGGCCCTCACAGCTGCCTCAATTTCAGTTTCGACACGGCAAATAAAGTTTGTCGTAGCTCGGGGATATGCTGGCTGGAATGGAAGCGTCAGGGCTTGTAGTCATTAAACTTGAAGATGAGATGTACATGCGTGCATGCCATACAAACGGCAAACCAAACGCCATTGTGATCAGCACAATTCCTCTTCGATTTCCTTTGTCTGTGTCACTGAAAGTGGGCTCCATTTACCTCGCCCGCCCATGCGGCACGAATGGGCTGAAATGTTAATCGAATCACTCATCGGGCAACAGAGAGCCCTACAAACAACAATATGCCAATTCTTTGGCCATTGTTCTAAACTGCAATTGTGCTAAGTGTGATGGATATAGCATAATATGGATACTCAAATAATGCCAAATTGGCAGCAGCTGCTGATTAAATTTTCTTTTCTACTTGGCAGCAAAATAAATATTTGTCATTTACTATTTATCCTAAATCAATTTCACGTTCAAAAAAACACATTGTTTTGTTTCATTTGAAGCAAATATTCAATATTTCGTCAAATTATTTAACATTTATTGCTGAAGTTTTTCTTTTAGCATGGAATATGTTGAAATTCACAATATTTTTCAATGCTGCTATCATCATTGGCAAACGTCTGTCAGCTAGTTTTTTGTTTATATGGACTAGAAACACTCGCTCATAGAATTATTGGGAGAAATATTGGTGGCTGGTCTCTTGAGGGATTTTGCAATAACTCAAATGTAACAATTTTTTGACAAATATTATGTACGAATTGCAACATAGTATGCGCGCCCATATAACTAAAAAAAATAAATAAATAAAAACTAAAAGTGTTCACAGGGTATAAACAAGCTTAATAACCACAGCAAGGCAGTGAGAGTCATAATATTCAAATTGATATACTCTTTTCACTTTTTGTGTGAGTGTAAAAAAACAAAAGCTTAACTTTTTTATGACGCCGAAAATTGTTGTTTGTTTTAAATATTTATTTATTATTTACGCTTGCCATAAATGCATCAATTTTGTGTCAAAAACATTTTATTGTTTTCTTTTGTTAAAACTGAGACCGATTTTTTTATCACGCCCCATATAAGAAATGTAATCAAGCGAGGGAAATAAATTGAAATTAAATTTAACAGCGAGAAACCCAGCAAGTTATGCATAAAGGATATTTTTATATGTACATACATTACACATTAAAGAGATGGTTCCGTACATTAGATTCATGTTAAGCACTGAAAAATAAAGCATGAAAAATAAAAGTTTCCTGAATCAACTTAATAGTTATTGTTGAAGCTTATTAAAAGAAAACAAGCACAGATTAAAAGTCGAAAAATAAAATTCTTAGCAAAAGTCTAAGAAGTTGTTTAATTCCTAACAAAATCAATATCAGATTTTTTATTAAAAATCATAATTTTGTAATTTGGATTTAAAAATTGTGTAAATTAATTATGCTAAGGCTTGTTTACACCTACTGCTACCCAATAGCTTGGTCTAATTGAATGACCAGCACTGTGCTGTTTGTTTACTTCTGGCACACATTGACGCTATCCCACGTGCACACAATGTGACATACACACACACACACACACACACACATACTTCATCGCTCTCAATCTGCTTTAATGCCACATTAAGGCAACTGAATGGAATCGAATACGAAAAAGGCGCAAGCACAGCCTCCCACAGGCACACACACGCACTCTCACACACATGCACAACCTATATGAATACCAGCGCGGGGCGAATGCGTAAACAGCGCGTCGCGTTCATTGACGAGGGAATGCGGTGCGAGCAACGAAAGCCGAACGGAAGCAGAGCAAAATTTTAAAAATAAAATGACGCTGTAAATAGACAAAAGAAAAACACGAAGAGAAATGCCAGGGCTGAGCTAAAAGCACCAGATGACAGGGCACGCAATACAAACACAAACACACACACACACACGCACAAAAACAAAACAAAGGAAAATGAAGAAACAAAATAAAGTGATATGAAATAAAGTAAAAAGAACAACGGAAAACTTGCTGCGCATTTTGAGCAGAGCTTTGCTTGGGTGAGCAAACAAAGTGGGAAATGTTCGGCTGTGTGTGGGTTATTTTTACCGTATTTATGTCTTTTTGAATGTGCCAGTTGCTTTTCATTTCATTTTTACTGCTATTCGCGTGTGCTTGCTGTGTGCTAATTTATCTTGTCGTGTATGATTTAATGGTCCGCCACGCCCGTAGATGCGTATGCACCCCATCCCCCCCCTCCCCTGGCTGAACAATTGTCTGGCTCCATATATTTATGAAGTCACTAACGGGCAGCTACTCTCGATGCACTTCCTTGCGGCAACAAATTATCTCAGCGAAAATTGCAGCACCAGCAACGGCGGCTACAGCATCATCATTTATGCAACGCCCCCTACCCCCCGTCACCCCCTCCCCGAGGGAATTCCAACCGAAGGCCGCCAGCGAGCAACCCAACAATTTTGCAAATTAAAGCAAATTTGTTTTACCAAGTGATAAACGATGCTATTCATTGCATTTGAAATGCACTTACCGATTGCATATGAATTACAAATATCCTCGAAAGCGAAATACTTGAATCAATTACGTTTCTAAACAGACAAATTGGTTCAAGTGAGTCAGTCAGCTCTAATGAAAACAAATCAATTTCAAATTTGTTTACAAATATTTACTTAGCTTTGCATTAAATATTTAATCTTGGCCAAAGTTTATTATTAATTCATTTCAAATTTTGTTTTTTTATTGAGTCCATAGAACTGCATTTTGAAATAAACA